AAAAGAAACAGTCCATTCTCCAGTAATCGGACATGCTATAGGCGACCGTGTTACTGCTGGAGGAGGTGGTTCTGGGGGTGGCGGTGGATATGGAGCTATAGGAGAAGATGGTGCTACCGGATATGGCAGCGGCGGTGGTCATGGAGAAGGTGGTGATGCCGGATATGGAGCCGCCGGTGGACATGGTGGTGGTGGAGGTGGCGGCAGTGGCGGAGGTGGCGGTGGCGCCTCTGCTTATGGTGATGCTGGAGGGGCTGGTTATGGAAGTGGCGGAGGAGGAGGGGCCGGGTATGGTGGTGGAGGAGAACATGGCGCGGGGTACGGTGGAAGTGGTGGTGGCGGCCAGGGTGGTGGGGGTGGCTCTGGATATGGAGGAGACCATGGTGCGGGTTATGGAGGTGGTGAAGGAGGCAGTTCAGGTGGTGGTTATGGTGATGGTGGAGGTGGCGGAGGTCACGGTGGTGGCGGTGGAGGAGGTTCTGGTGCAGGGGGAGCTCATGGAGGTGGATATGGAAAAGGTGGGGGAGAAGGTGGAGGTTCAGGCGGAGGAGCTGGTGGAGCTGGCGGTGGAGGTGGCGGAGGCCACGGTGGTGGCGGGGGAGGAGGTTCTGGTGATGGGGGAGCTCATGGAGGGGGATATGGAAAAGGTGGGGGAGAAGGTGGAGGTTCAGGCGGAGGAGCTGGTGGAGCTGGCGGTGGAGGTGGCGGAGGCCACGGTGGTGGCGGGGGAGGAGGTTCTGGTGATGGGGGAGCTCATGGAGGGGGATATGGAAAAGGTGGGGGAGAAGGTGGAGGTTCAGGCGGAGGAGCTGGTGGAGCTGGCGGTGGAGGTGGCGGAGGCCACGGTGGTGGCGGGGGAGGAGGTTCTGGTGATGGGGGAGCTCATGGAGGGGGATATGGAAAAGGTGGGGGAGAAGGTGGAGGTTCAGGCGGAGGAGCTGGTGGAGCTGGCGGTGGAGGTGGCGGAGGCCACGGTGGTGGCGGGGGAGGAGGTTCTGGTGATGGGGGAGCTCATGGAGGGGGATATGGAAAAGGTGGGGGAGAAGGTGGAGGTTCAGGCGGAGGAGCTGGTGGAGCTGGCGGTGGAGGTGGCGGAGGCCACGGTGGTGGCGGGGGAGGAGGTTCTGGTGATGGGGGAGCTCATGGAGGGGGATATGGAAAAGGTGGGGGAGAAGGTGGAGGTTCAGGCGGAGGAGCTGGTGGAGCTGGCGGTGGAGGTGGTGGAGGCCACGGTGGTGGCGGTGGAGGAGGTTTTGGTGCTGGGGGAGCTCATGGAGGTGGATATGGAAGTGGTGGAGGAGAAGGTGAGGGTTACGGTGGAGGAGCTAGTGGTTATGGTGGTGGCAGTGGTGGTGGCCATGGTGGCGGCCACGGTGGCTATGCTCCTTGAAAATAATACTTATGCATTTAACAGCTTAAATGAAATATTAATACCCCTTCTTACTCATGTTAAAGTTGAGAAAAAATAAGAGTAATAACCAATATGAGTGAGAGGAGATCTTTAATTAATAAACATATATACAATTACTGCCAATTCTATGCTCCAAAAAGTTTTAATCTCCTTAAACTATATGACGGTGAAATATTCTTCTTATGTTTGTTGTGTTATATATCTTAATCACTTATCTAAATTCGAAAAGTCTTCTAAATAGAACGCCATAATCCATATGCATGACTATAGTACACTTCTTATTTATTTGTACGATTGGCCGTGATAGGTTGGCAGCAATATAACAGGACCGAAACATTATTAGTTCATGTTTTTAACTAATAGGCTGTGCCAAGGATGTTTTTTCCTTTCGCATTATTTAATTAAAAATGCTTTTAACTAATAGACCACGCGACGAATTAGTCTTATATCAGAACACGTTAAATTGCTAGATCTATTTCAAACCGTTAACCATTCAGCTTAAAACTACGATTAATCTGGCAAATTAATTGTCTACACAACATTTGGACTGATCCCATATCAACATTTTTCAAGTAATTAAATTAACTACTGTCAAATTCTTCTAAAATTAGACAAATATAAATATTGTTTTGAGGCAGAACAATTTTTTAATAAGATTCATGACTTTAATTGTATCATGTCAAAAAATAATTATATCTCGTCAAATAGATACAGATATCGATGCATAGCCTAGGAACTACATAATCCTGATTTGACGAGCGGGAATATATGTGCTCACTGTGTCTGCATGAAATATGCTCCTACTGTTCCACTGCTTTGCTTTTAGCCAATAAGATTAAAGTAGAAAACCATCAAAAAATAAATCATTGTTTTAATGCATCTAAAAATAAAACCATTACCTTAGTCATTAAATAGGATAGCGTAAAATTAAATCTCATAAACTACTTTGATTCTAAAATTCAACCATTTGTGTTTTTCAAACTGAATAATAAGAAAAATAAAATAACTGAACTTTTTTTTTAATATTCAGAATCGCTATTATTAGACATTTTGGACTCATTGCTTAGCCAGTCTAATCAGTTTACACACTTATATATTCAAGACCAAGCTAATGTGAAGGGCATGAAAGGTAATCTATATGATGGAACACGTTTTCCTCTTAATTCATTGTCCATTTATACAATATGGAATTAAAATTTCTGTAATTTCTCAAGTGCACTTATTAATTGATTGGCATTGTTATTGTTGTTATTGCTATTACTGTAATATAATATTGTTATTATAGTATCATCATTAATTATAACTATACACTATTTTTTCTTATATGTATATATATATATATATAGGCAAGATTAATAAGGCCTCTTCATGATTTGGTATATGAGTAGATCCTTTTGAATTGGTCGGTGCTCTTCTTCAAAATTAAGGACCGATTTTAGCTCTTTTATATTATATTATCTTTCATCGCTCCTTCGGAATTATGCATATATTTGAACAATTTTGCTACTTTGTTATCTATTTATTTATAATAATTGACATCATTGCATGGGACGAGAGGTAAAACTCATATATAAGTCAGTTAGGATGTCATTTGGTTTTTTCTTTTTCTTTTTTGTTTTTTAATATATGTCATTTGATTTCTTGATAAATGAGGGCGCTCATTTCGTTAAAAAGAAAGAAAAACACTTTATTTTGTTAAAAGAAATTTTTCATAAAACAGTAACCCTGGATATCTTTCAAATAATTAATATTTTTATCCTATTTCTTAACTACGTAATTAAAATGTTCATTCTAATGATCATTAAGCTAGCTCGTATGTTTCTGTATTGCGATTAGCACTTCACTAATCAATTAATTACACTCACTATATAATGGAATGCATCAATGATATCATTATAACTAATTTCCCAATCATGATAAGTGGATGGTGACTTGGTCACATTTAGAGGAGTGTATATTGAGGGTCTAGTTATCATAAACCATGCACATATATGGTATATGTATATGACCTATATATATATATATATGCATGTATATCTCTCAAGACTCGAAGATATCAGTTCGTCAACTACAGCTCTTAATTGCGATCACACGTCCTTTCAAGATAAATAGCACGAGCATCTCATTCGTTTTATGTAGCCCTAGCTAGACCATATAAATATAAAATAAAATTTGGTAGATAGCACTATGTATTGAAACATTGAAATAGAAAAGAGTTTTTTTTTTTTTTTTCATTTTTATACCTTGGACTTTAAGATTATCAAACAATTGTACCTTATGTTTTTTATTGAATCACATTTATACCTTCATATTAGATTTATGCTGATCAAATTCTCATCTTTTTTTTTCGGTCAATAATCAATTTTTATCATGAAAAAAAAATCCTAAACAGCCTTAAAGGAAATAAGAATAAGAATAAGAAAAAACAAAAAATTCAAAAATATGATATCCATAGTCAAGAAAAACTTTTTACTAAAGAAAAAGTATGAATTTAATGTTAATTTGAAATGTGAAAGTATTCATTTGATACGTACTGTGCAAAATACAAAATATGAATTTTTTGATAACTTCATACTGATTGGAAAAAAAAAAAAACAATTAAAAAAACCGATTGAAGAACATGCATTCATGTAATAAGACTAAGGGTATTTTGCACATTTGCCCCCTGAACTTATATGATTTTATCAATTTGCTCTTTGAATTTTTAATTTTAACAAGTTGTTCTCTCAACTTGTAAACTTATTACAATATGCCCCATTTTTACAATGATTGTATTAAATTAGTGTTGAAAAAGCACGTTCGATGAAAATTTTCAACATCCCAATTAAAAAAACAATCTAAAAAAAAAAAAGAAATCCGATTGAAGAACATGCATTCATATAATAAGACTAAGAGCATTTTGCACATTTGCCCCCTAAACTTATATGATTTTAGATCATTTCTTCAAGTTGTAAACTTATTGTAATATGTCACATTTTAACAATGATTGTATTAAATTAGTGTTAAAAAAGCATGTTCGATGAAATTAAATGAATACTTTCAAGCCACTATAATAAAATTTAGTAAAATGGAGCACATTACAACATTTTTACTAGTTTGGGGGTTGATTGCTAAAATTAAAAATTTAAAGAACACTTTATCAAGCCACTATAAGTTAGGGGGCAATTGTGTTAAAAACCCTAGGACTAAATACAAGTGTCTCGTGTGGAAGCAATACGGTGAGACGGCAGGCGCCAAATCCTTTTGCAAGTACTAAAGGAATAATATATATATATATATAGATATATATATATAAGTAAGTTCGGCTTTATTACACATATAAAACTCTGCAAAAATGGGTATTTGCGGCAGATGAGGAGGACAGCATAAACTCACTAAATAATAATAGCGTAGTACGCATGAGTGAGTTGTGTGAGTGCAGTACTAATTTGTGTCTGCGTATTGGAGCACTGATAACCTGTGAGCACCCACACCTTCCCTTTTGCATGCGCTTTAGCCACTCTCCAACCATTGGACGCGGCTTTGGGCACTCTATAAATAGCTGCCGTTTTCTGCATTCTATGGACATAAGCTAATTAAACAATCTCCCATGGCCATGGCTATGCATAGAATTTCTAGTGTTGTTTTCTTTGTATTGTTGGGTTTAGCCATTTCTACTTCTGCGTCAAGAGTTCTCTTCACTACTGAAGAGTCTCTTGACGGTGCTCTAACAGCTAGCTATGGTGTAACTGAGCATGGCGTAGGCCACGGTTATGTTACTGCCACTGTTGGTGCTGGCGCTGGCTATGGAAGTGGGGCTGGTCGAGGAGAAGGAGGCGGTGAGGGTTACGGAGCTGCTGGAGGACATGGAGGCGGTGGCGGTGGCGGCAGTGGAGGCGGCGCTGGCGGTGGTGCTGGTGGCGCCGGGTATGGAAGTGGGGGTGGAGAAGGAAGTGGTGCAGGGTATGGCGGCAGCGGAGAATATGGAGCTGGACATGGCGGCGGTGGAGGGGGAGGAAGTGGTGGTGGCGGCGGCGGCAGTGGTGCCGGAGGAAACCACGGTGGTAGTTATGGGGGTGGTGAAGGAGGTGGTTCTGGTGGCGGATATGGAGCGGGAGGAGCCGCCGGCCACGGAGGAGGGGGCGGCGGGGGGGGGGGGGGGGGGGGGGGGGTGGTGGAGGAGGAGGTGGAGCCGGTGCTGGAGGAGGTGGTTATGGTGGTGGTGAGGGTTCTGGTTCCGGTGGTGGGTATGGAGCTGGAGGAGCTGCTGGCCATGGAGGAGGTGGTGGTGGTGGAAGCGGCGGTGGCGGCGGAGGGGGAGCAGGCTCGGGTGCTGGAGGTGCGCATGGAGGTGGTTATGGCGGTGGTGAAGGAGCTGGCTCGGGCTATGGTGGCGGAACTGGCGGCCACGGCGGGGGCGGGGGCGGTTCAGGTGGTGGTGGTGGCGGGGGTTATGCGCCTTGAAGTGTGGCAGTTGCTCCCTTGTTTGATGATCAACGTCTCTACAAGGGCAACCTCTTCTTACCTAAATTATCTCCCAAAATAATTTATATTCATTTTGGTAAGAAGATATATTCACGTTTAGTTTGGATATGTCATGTGCTGTTCAAATAAAGAAAGGAAAGTAATGCAAAGAATGGATGTTCCACAACGTAAGTTTGTATCAATTTAACATGTGTGCAAGTGTCCTTAATTTCCGTGTAATTTACTTTTTCAATATTTTAATATACAGATTAAAGACTCTGTGCTCTACTTAGTTAACGTAGTGCTGCCTATAAAATGTGATCTCTCCACCTAATGTTTTTATAAGAGATTCCAAGTTGTCGTAATAATCATGATGGGAAATTTGTGTAACTGATTTACAAACACTGGTTCTGTGATTAAATATTTGTGTTATGGAATGAACAAAAGCACTATCATGTCGTGGGGCAAAGTACGTAAAGTACATGGCCTGATTAAATTAATATACGTGGGAGGTGAAACCTAATTATTCAAGAATTTTTCTTTTTTCAAAAAAGGATAAAGAGTAAATGTATGGCCCGTTTAGTTCGCTGAATCGAGTTTTTAATTCGAGTTGAGATGTGTTTTTATGTGAGAGCTTTTTACTGTAGCAAAAAAGTTAGATGTGATTATTTGTAAAAATTTTTTACTGTAGAAAAACTCAAATTCTAAACTCGAATCTACGTACAATAATGACCATATTCTCTACGACTTTACCCTCGTGTGTACTTCTTGAGATTGAAGATGTTTTTTCCCCCCCAAAAAAAAAAAAAAAAAACAAAGAGCAACTGAATAAGAGACAAATAATGCTATTCAGAAGAGACTAATAGTAGTACTACGTGAAAGATTTACTTTGTATTTTTTTCACAACTCAAGTCACAACTCTATTGTTGTCACATATGCAAATTTTTCTTATATTTTCATGTTAGAGCTTTTTACCGTAGTAAAAAAGTTAGATGTGATTGTTTGTGAAAGTTTTTTACTGTAGAAAAACTCAAATTCTAAACTCGAATCAGCGAAATGAACGGGACCTTTAATGAACAAGAGAACGTAGTACGTACAATAATGACCATATTCTCCCGACTTTACCCTCGTGTGTACTTCTTGAGATTGAAGATGTTTTTTCCCCCCCCAAAAAAAAAAAAAAAAAGAGCAACTGAATAAGAGACAAATAATGCTATTCAGAAGAGACTAATAGTAGTACCACGTGAAAGATTTACTTTGTATTTTTTTCGCAACTCAAGTCACAACTCTATTGTTGTCACATATGCAAATTTTTCTTATAAAAATTTAAAATATTTTCTCACATATGCAAATTTGAGTTGTCAATCAAACATAACCTAAAATGCTTGGAAATCTAATGTCCATTAGTTTACTTACAACCCTATAATATATATATATATATATATATCTTAGTGTATTCACTGAGTTTTGACTAGAGGATTTTTAACAAGGTATATTTGTAGATTGTTTTTAAGGTGCAAGTTCCGACTTATCCTTTGAGATTCTCTAGCTACCGGCTATTTTCATCGACACTTTTCTTTAGGATTTCACATGTCGGAGCTTCTTTGTTGTTCCCTTTTAATTAACTCTTTGTATTTTCTTTTCTTATTAATAACTTTGAGTTGGGAACTTAACAGATGATAAGATTGTTAGTGGGTGCCCACATATATAATTAGAATAATGTTACAGACACTAACTCAAATCTCAATTTTTATATACCAATTAATGTGGCATGTGAGTTGTCATCTTTTTATTCGTAAATATAATTTCTTATCATTAATTAACGTGATAATATTTTAAACACCCACCAATATAGAAATAACAACTCACATACTATATTAGTTGATATACAAAAGTTAACATTTGAGTTGGTATCCCTAACATTATTCATGTAGTTGGAATGTGCTAGTCTTCATTTATTCCCTTTCTCAATTTATTAAAAAAATAAATAAAAAAAAAATGGTTTACATCTAGCTTGAGCACATCACAGAGGGAAACCTTGCGAACTCAGAACTCAGACTTTGCGAAGCAAAACGATTAGCTGCATGCAGTAACATAATATAATTAGTCTATTTATTTGGCGACACATTGTCACACAAACGCTAAAAATGTTTGCATGTTGAGAAAGTAATTTATATGTAAAGATGCAGCTCCTTCAAGCGTTGAACAACTAGACTAGCCATTGAATCCCGTAGTTTTCTCCAACCACGCATTTTTTAATAAAGCTAAATAGCATAATTATTATAAATTGTCTTTTAAATCTGGAATTTTATTTTTCTATAAGTGCTTTACGATCAGATTTTGAAAATTCAGAATATCCATGTCTAACCAACACAATAATTTTGAATTTAAAACAAGACTTCTATATGCACAAACAGATATATATTTATATATATATATATATATCAACAGTGGATTATAATTGACTCTCCAATTCCATTGCTGTAGATCATGACTGTAGTGCAAAGAAAAAATCAGCTTATTGGAAGCAAGTGGACTGATTAGATAGCGGTTCAAGTTGCGCTTATTCCTTGTGGGGTCTAGGAAAGCAAAGAGTGTTTTTCTATTGTTGTTGTTGTTGTTGTCTTTATTTTATTATTATTATTTTTTTTTTGTGTGTGTCTAGTCCAAAAAACATTGAAATTCTTAAACACTGTTTTCCATCCACTAAAGTACGTACCAATAACAACTACTACAAACAATGTTTGGTTGGACAGCAACAATCATAATTTCAGTACCACACTATCGGTTATGTCAGGCGGGGGTAGGAGGGATGAAATGATCAACTACGATCGAGGGCGGGGCAATTTTAGAGACACTTTTCTGATGGTTGTGTTCAGATTAATCAGTAAAGTTTTGCATATCATTCCACCTTTAATATTAGATTTAAGCACTTTCGATTATGCTTATAGAAAAAATATAGACATTAATTAGGTGTCAACTTTTTGGTTCAACCAAAATTTTTAAAACTAAATGCTTCATGATGATATTTTAGTAACAACTTGTTATTAATGTGTACTTTCATTGATAATTTTAGTGAATAAAGATCTGTTTGATACACTAGACGTTCAAGTGGTTTGAACTTTGAACTAAAGAGATGGTTCAAAATCCATATTAAGGCCTCGTTCATTTCACCGATTCAAGTTTTCAGTTTTAGGTTTCTACAGTAAAAGGCTCTCAGAAAATATCACATCTAACTTTTTTTTACTACAGTGTAAAGCTCTTAGAAAATATCACATCTCAACTTGAATTGAAAACTTGAATTCGCAAAGTGAACGAGGCCTAAGTAAATCTTTTTAAGTCTTGATTCAACTATTGAGTTGATGTTTTGAACAAATATATAAATATATATATATATATATGTGTGTGAGTTTATACTCCCTCTCCATTGTTTTCAAGTGGTTTGAACCAAAACTTGAACCATTTTTTTCAAACTCACCATTTAAAAAAAGAAAATTTAAACAGCTGCATTTTGATCATGTTTATAACACGGGTTGTAAAACCTTTTACCACGGACCTTTTAGTGATGCCTGGTTATTTCACTTTTTTTAATGTTTAAGTTATCTTCACTTAGGCACAACTCTTTTAAGGAGCTTTTGCAATAATGATGAATAATTCTAAGGTTTTCTCTTTCTTTTTTTTTTTTCTTTTTTGATTTGTTAGTGCAGTAATTAAATGAGGAACCTAAGAGAAATTATGTACGGAATTCATACAGAAGACTGTATATTAAATCTGAAAGATGATATAATCCTGTTGATCAATTTAAGGAATAAAAGAAGTACGACAAAGTGTTCACTCTTAATTAATATGCATGGCTTTTTAATAATAGTTACGCGTATTGTAAGCCATGACATATTTTTCCTCGCATTTACATTCTAAGTTCTAACCGTTATATTCACAAAAGATTAAGGCCTCGTTCATTTCGCCAATTCGAGTTTTTAATTCCAGTTTTACTACAGTTAAAAGCTCTCACAAAAAGTCATATTTAACATTTTTTTCTATAGGAAAAAACTTACATAAAATCACATCTCAGCTCAAATTGAAAACTCGAATCCGCGAACTGAACGAAATAATAAAACGTCAAATTCATGCCACATCAGTATATATAGTGCATAAAATTTTGTAAAATGTTAGTATCCAAGCATTGTGCATACGTATCATATACATAGTAATGTATTTTTTTTTTTTTAACTTAAACACAAATAGCAATAATTCATAGGGTCAACTCCTAGTATACACAAATCGTGGTTACCAAAATTACGCTGGATAAGGAACTCACTTTTTTTTTTTGTGGAAATTCCTGCTCTGAACTTTGAATAGGTTTTTGAACTTTATTGAGGTGAGCAAGGATTTCCATTGTTGGTGGTCTACAATAAAGGACTACTGCAAGTTCGAGTATTGGGTGATCTTTTTTTAGAATTTTAAATGTGAAAAAATGTTCTTGCCAGTCTAATACTCAATTTAACATGTTTGAGATCACGCCTCACATATTTTGATTATTGGGGCATTCTATGGGATATAGATGACGCACTCTTGTCAAGAGTAGGGCTGCAGTTAGGATCTTGAGCAAACATTTCTATCAGTGTCTCTGACAATCCATTTAATAACACTTAGGACGCCAAACCGTCTCTTGAATTTTTAATCATAAAAAGATATGGTTTTAGGTACCTCCGTAAAGATTTAATTAATATGAATTTTCGTAGGTGGTAAAACAGATATTATATCATATTGCTGTTATTGTTATCAAGATTATCTTTATCACACTACATGTATTGGATACATACGTAAAGATGGCGTAAGCTGAAAACCAAATAAATAATAAATAAATAAATAAACAAAACAAAGAGACAGAGAAATTAGAGAAAGAACCAAATTGTTTAGATAATGCCATAATCATGCAACTTGGTTATAGCCTTATAGGGTTGAGCTAAACCCTTCTCATTGAAACTACTGCCTGTGGGCTGTAACCTAAAAAGGTTTAAAAATTAAAGCCAAAACTAAGACAAAGGCCAGGCTCTCTTCAATTTGATGATGCAGTATAAAGTATATAAATATGAAAAGTAACAGAGAACGAGGAAAGAAACATTATCATAATTGCATGATTACCAAAGTTTGTCATGAATTTCAATTATCAAACACTATATTAATGTTGATAGAATGAAATGCCCCCCTATTTGTGATCCACTTTAAGATCGTTGGCTAGAATTCGTGTTTAAATCAATTAATAAAGAGCATTTTAAAGTTCATCCCAGAGTTTTTGCATTGATTTCATCTTTATAAACAAGGTTAGTTTTCATAACCAAGAACTAATATATAGTACTATAATATCGCTATGAGTAGAGCCAAAATGCGCAAGAAAAAATATTGGATTGGAAGGATCGATAGGCATGGGAGATTTGCACATGCTCTGGGCTATAGCTTAGCTCAAGGATTTGGTATAAAATGTGATTTCACTACTGGTATGTGGGCGACAGCAAAAGCACACTATTGGGGTCTACTAGTGAAGGTGAGTACTGTATAACTTGTGTTGTGTGTATTGGACCACCTTCTTCTTCGCACACATCCATTATATTCTTCTTCTGCATGTGCAATTCAACCACTTTGTTTTTGCAGTGGACACGCTTTTCGACGCTTTTCCCTTCCTATAAAAACCCACATTCTCTTGCATTCTAATTCACGGTTGTGGGTTTCAAGCACACATTGATTTGGTCCAATGGCTAGACGCAATAAGCTTCTCTCTACTACTAGTTATCTTCTTTTTGTCCTTCTAGGTATCGGCATTTGTTCTGCCGCTAGAGTCTTGTTCACTTATGAACCTGTCCACATTCCTGAAACTGGACACGGTGGCGGCGCCGGAGTTGGAGAAGGGCATGGCGGTAGCGCGGGTGGAGGTTATGGAGGTGGTGGAGGCACCGGTGGTGGCGGTGGATATGGGGCTGTAGCAGAACATGGTGCCGGTTATGGAAGTGGTGGTGGTGGTGGAGAAGGGGGTGGTTCTGGATATGGAGCCGCCGGTGGCGGTGGTGGCGGTGGCACTGGCGGTGGGGGTGCATATGGTGGTGCCGGAGGTGCTTATGGAAGTGGGGGAGGAGAAGGTGGTGGTGCTGGGTATGGTGGTGGTGGTGGAGGTGGCGGCAGCGGTGGTGGTGCCGCTTATGGTGCTGCAGGTGGTGCATATGGTGGTGGAGGAGGGAAAGGGATTGCACATGGTGGTGGTGGAGGTGGCGGCAGCGGTGGTGGGGCCGCTTATGGTGCTGCAGGTGGTGCATATGGTGGTGGAGGAGGGAAAGGTGGTGGTGCAGGATATGGTGGTGGTGGAGAATATGGGGCTGGACATAGTGGCGGTGCCGGCGGTGGAAGTGGTGGTGGGGCGGCTTATGGTGGTGCTGGAGGTGGTGGATATGGAAGTGGAGGAGGTGAGGGAGGTGGTGCTGGAGGTGGTGGATATGGTGGGCCAGGACATGCCGGTGGTGGAGGTGGTGGCAGTGGAGGCGGTGGTGGTGCCGGATATGGTGGAGACCATGGTGGCGGCTATGGAGGTGGTGAAGGAGGCGGTGCGGGTGGGGGCTATGGTGGAGCTGGTAGTGGAGGATACGGTGGAGCTGGTGGTGCAGGCTACGGAGGTGGTGGAGGCCATGGCGGTGGTGGCGGAGAAGGTTATGGTGCCGGCGGAGCTCATGGAGGTGGATACGGTGGTGGAGGAGGAACAGGCGGCGGATATGGCGGAGCTGGTGGATATGGCGGCGGTGCTGGTGGTGGCTCTGGTGGAGGTGGTGGCTATGGTGCTGGAGGTGCACATGGCGGTGGCTATGGAGGTGGTGGTGGGGGTGGTGAGGGTGGTGGCCATGGTGGCTATGTCCCTTGAAACTAGTAGTACAATTAATTATCTATTCAATGGTCTAAGAAAATTACCTCTTCTCACCTATAGTATCATGGACAATAAGATAAATGCGGTTACGTAAGAGAGTGTCTAAACTTATAAACATGGTGCGAGTGTCACTTGTATGCTATTCAAAGTTGTATTCTGTTTATGATTAATATTTATGCATTCTTCTCGTGAATATTAATCCACTAGTACCATTCTCGAACTTATATTTAATCATGAAGATATGAATTAGTGGGAAGGCATTTGTCCTACGTACTTACGTACCCAAATTGTTTTGTTGGAATAGATTAATTCATGTGTTTGAGTAAACTAAGTACGCAATGCAAGTTTCAAAAGAAAATCAATGTTGAATAAACTTCGGTGTAATGTTTGTTATACTATAAAAAAATTATGGCACCACAGACACAATGTTACGTTTGAGTTTAGTTATATGGGCAATGAGACTGAGAAAAAAGACTTTCGAGATTCCACGCATTTAATTTTTAATGAAAACAAAAGGAATTTTAATCGTATCAAAATAAATAAATATATATATATATATATATATTATGAAAAGCTATGTAGACGTGATTTTATAGCGCTTGAATTTTATTACATTTCTGACTTTTAATGGAACAATATTTAGACTCTTTGTTCAGTATCATCAATTTATCAATTCATTCTAAAAATTCAAGCTTTTAAAAAGTGCACCAACAATAATTTTATACTATATCACACTGTGAAACATATCTAAAACTGACCACTGATCTATACAAAATGTGTATAACTCGATATTGTATATAGCACGAGTGATCAGAAATAAAATCTATATATGGATCACAAAGATCTACTACTATATATCTTATACCATCTCTTAATCTATCTATTCTTGTTTATACATGCATCATCATATTATTGCCCTATAGTATGGCTAGCTGTTCAAACAGACAAGTAGACTTCCTTATCATCATCATCTGGTTCGTAGTTTCCTTGTGATAGTTCCTTGAGAATTCCTTTGAGATGATCAGAAATAATGAGCTCTGGAGCCGGTAGGGAAGAGGCTGGCGATTCTCCGGGTGTGCTCGTTTCGCCGAAGTTATCGACAATCGACCGGCCTTTGATCAGGTCGAACTCTCCTTCTCCGTTCATCACAACCATGTTACACGGGATCTTCTTAGCATAAAACTCCAGGTCTATTTGCTTTTGATGCCTATAACCAAACATTCCATGAAAAGATTTTACAAAATTTATTATTCTAAAGCACCATCTATTCATGGAATTGAAGTTTACCGCCGTCTTAGTCTGTCTTTTTTGTTGTCTCATTAATTAAGATCTAAATTTTAAAGCTGAAAAGCCGTTTTTGTTAGTTTCTAAGATTTTTTTTTTTTCTTTCCTTTTTTGAAGAAATTATTTTCAAGATTTTCAGTTTAGGTGGTGTGCAAAATACTAATTAGTGGGACAACAAAAAGACAAATTCTTAAGAGAGCAAATTTCAAATCCCTATACATCATGTGCGGCTATTTGGTGCTGTCACATAACAAAAAGGTGAGATCAAGTAGAGATCTTGCTTATGCTATCTTGCGGTAGAGATCTTGCTCATGCTATCCTGCCGTAGAGATCATAGAGCTAAATGACTCGCATATAAGGTGTGCACACCTACTAGTATTTCATCACTTTTTTAATATTGAAAAATTCAGATACAATTTTACTGTTACGTTGAAATGCACCAAAAGATTTGGAAAATTTTTTTTATTACATAATTGTATAACATAAAACATAATAAATAATCATTATCACAATTACTACGTAATTATACTATTTCTAAAATATTTTTAAAAAATAGCTTTATTTTAATTCCACCCTACTTTATAATAGTATTTAATTTTAGTGCTCTACCTATCAAACACCACCCATGTTGCACTAAGGCTTGTGATTTGCTCGACAACCAAAAGTCTTGATGGATAACCCATTACCACTTTCTTTTGCAGCACAACCTGCGTTACATATGATCATGAAGCAAATAATTGTCCTAGGCATATATTTATATATATATCTATATAATATGTATATGTATGTATGTAAACATTATAAATTGTGGATAATTAGATTTATACCCCATAACTTTTGCAAAGGTCTATAACTGCCTTAAGCTTGAGATACTTGAAATCACTCTTCATCAATCCACTGTTCTCTCTCACAAGATTAAGAACTACTTCCAATTCCACCGACCAAACATCCAGCCATGTCTTGGAAGACACTACAAATAATTAACCAATATCTTTAAAATCAGGATGTTATAAGGTAAATTATCCTCACAGTAATCTAAAACTGACCTATAATTTTTCATTTCTGTTCGGTAATCATACACTACTTTTTCTTCACTTGAACAACACATGTGCCTTGATTATATACTTCGCTAATACAAAGAAACTCTATAAACGCATAATGTTACTTTTTAAGAAGCATCTTTACGCTTGATAAGCACAAGTAATTACTATTGGATAAGTTATTCTATTGAGAAACTTGCACTTAATTACAAAAAATAACCATATAGGTCAGTGATTATAAACATTTCTGAATTATTAAATCTTATCTCCACCAGGAGGTATTTTTTACTAAATTACTTCATATAAGGTTTGTTTTGGTTTTGTTTCAACAGATTGAATTAAAAATCTTTCTACGAAGAAAAAAACACAAAACAAAAACAAATTGTATCACAAAGCATATAAGAGCATATTTTAGAAGCATCTCTCCTAGTACTATGTTATTTTCTGGCTAAGATTTCCTAGAGCAATATCGTGGCAATAAACTCTATTAAAAAGTCATTTTAAAAACATTCTAGAAGAAAATCTTTAAGACAAAACTCACAGAGAATGTTTAGCCATGGCATGACTCCAAGAAGAGTAACAACACAACCAGACGACGTGATCAAATTCTCGAGCGCCCATTCAAGCGGCTTAGTGGTGAACTCTTCGAGTCCGTCCATCACGACAACCACATGTTTTTTAAGGTTTGACCCTTGTGGTGAGTCTTGCATTGGTCTTAGATCATCGGCCAGAGAACTCTTGTTTCTCAAGAAAGGACTAATTCGCTTTTTCCCCTGCTTTTGTCCTCCTGTTCTAAAGAAAATAACCATTTTTTTAACCTTCTCAGGTTGAAAAAATTACTGAGCGTTTCTGCAATATATTGCCCTTTTTTTTCTGAACGTAAAGAAATCAAATTAAAAGAGCAAACTGCGGAGAAAAGGGAATTGTTTGGAGACATTCCAATCTTAAATAGACATTTGCCACCTCGTGAATTTGATACAATCAAGAATTTGCCATTGTTAGTAGTGCTTTGACACAATCAAAGCTTACGGCAATTATGAGAGTGCCACATATAATGGTTATCCTCAGCTCTAGATCTTATCAATCTATATATATATATATATATATCTCTCAAATTTTATTCCGTTAACAAATTTAATCATTTTGTTACAATGAGTGATAAAAATCACCACATATCACTTATTTAATGAGAATTAAAAATATAATTATACTTATATCTTTCTAATCATATAATTTTTTATTTTTATACTCTTTTAATTAGATAATTTCTTATTTTTATATTCTCTTAATCAGATAATTCCCAATGTTTAAACTTTTTAGTTGTCTTTGCGTTCTTATTTCTTGCGTTCATCACTTAACACTCTTTGGGTCCGTTCACTTCGTTAATTCGAGTTTGTAATTTGAGTTGAGATGTAATTTTGTATGAGAGTTTTTTATGTAACTGTTTTTAAGAATTTTTTACTGTAATAAAATTTAAATTCTAAACTCGAACGACGAAATGGAGGAGGCGGAACATTTTTCTCGGCATTAAATCTCTCCAGACAAAACTACCTTCCCCAAGATTTCAGGTTGAGGTCGTGCTTGTATATTATAATGGCACTGTACCTACAACGCCTAATGCCGAATCGACTACCAAGAAATCAGATGAAGGCTCACAATCTGCTCCTTCAACAGTTGAAGGAGCTCTCCCATTGCTCCAAAGCCAACCAAAGACTCAGGGACTCAAGAAAAGCATGATGTGTTTTCAGACAGTGAGGCAAAGGAAGGGCGGGATTCCATCCGGAATCGGAGACGCGCAATCCTGACACGGAAGGAGCGCATTCAATCCGAATTGGGAGACGCGCAATCCCGGCACGGAAGGGCCGGATTCCATCCTAATTTGAACCGAGTCATGTGATTCCGGCGAGATTGAAGCGGATCCCGACAGGATTTGGATCGGCTTACGTGATTCCTGCTAGATTGGGGCTAATTCCGGCGAAGTAAAGGGCGGATCTTGGAACGCTCATCCTCAAGCTTGGGTCTTTCCATTTTTTCTAGGAAAAGAAATTTATGATTGCATAAACAAATTTCAAAAGCTAACAAAACATGGAAAGAAAGGAAATAATGAAGCAGGTTGCTTCTATTGATGAGTTTTTCAGATTTGATTTTCTTTTAGATTTGGGTTTTTAATTAAGATTTGGGGTTGTTCATGATATTCACGTGTTGAGTTGAGTTTATGATAATATCTTTGGGTTGAATTTTATTCATGTAATAATTTTTATCGCTTATTATAACAAAATAAAATTTAGAGAAAACAGATATTATTTTTTAAAATTTAAAAAATAAAGTATTGGAAAAGTTATAATTTAAATTTTTAAAATTAATCTTAAATATTACCAAGGTGTGCCACGTGTAGAATAATATGGACAAATGGATTACAAATCCAAAGCTATGAAATATACTAATGCTTTATTTATTTTGAAGGTTTTGGTATAATTTAAAATTATAATTCTTAATTTATTAATTTTTTTTTATAAAAAATTTAAATTTTAAAAATTAAAATTATAAATCATAATTCTTAACCCAAACTAAACACCATTTAAAATTCTATCGACCCACCAGATTGTTCAACAAATCCAACCAAATAAATTTTTCTCTAAGCATTTTTGTCGGCCAGTAAATTACTGTTATTGTCTTTTCTATTGTTCGCGTCTCTTTATTTGTGTTGTGTTTGATCCTCAATTTTAAAACCACAAAAACATACACCTAAACTACTATCGTTAGAGCGTTCAAATGACGGCTTTTTTGGTTGATAGGTGAGTTGAAAACGTTCAGAATTCTTAATGGGTCACAAAAACATGGAATGGTAGAATTCTTAACGCAGCAATCATGGAAACTTAACTCACAATTTCCATTTTACCAATAGCATGAGTTAGGCTAGTGTAGCAAAGAATTGTTATTTCGACTGAACTTTACATTGGAGAATAGCATAGCTACTAGAAGTATGAACAAAAAAGGAGAAAAAAACGACATAAACAACAATCAGAAGCCAGCGTTCAGCTCATCATTTAGATCAAAGAAAGTTGGTTAATACCGAGAAACGCCCGTACCATTCAATGAGGCAAAACTGATTTCCAAAGCCTCAGATCGGAACTCAGCGTAAAGCTGCCACCACAGGATGCGCGGCCGAACCATTGTTGGATTTATGGCGACCACTAGCAGGCCCGGCTCCTTTACATGGAAATTCAAATTTCCTCTTCTTTCTTGCAGCACCTTCACTTTGAGGCCTAAACATGGCATCCAGAAGTCTACTGCCTCTGGAACTAGGCATGCTCCTAGTAAGATATCTGACAGCTTCCTTTGTTTCTGAATCGTCTGGACGCTTGTTCAACAATCTTTTACAGGTAGGTTGGTCCTCTGACTTCAGGTGGTTGCGAGGAATTTGATAACTAGGTCCTAGCAGATTTAAACACAACTCAAGTTAGTTCAGTCCAAGGATTTCACGTCACAAGCATAATAAAATCATCTTACACACGCATTTTACCTGGAGTCTCAAAGGAAAACACATCTGGACTCCGAGCTCTGGGAGGCGTGAGAGGATGGAAAATATCGTCTGCACTAGTATCGTCAACATCCTGCTGGCAACTATTTTCACCAAGAGATGTAGTAGTACATGCGTCAACATTGATGCTTGAAATTTTTTCAAAGCAATTGCCTTCTCCAGATGAAACTGAAGCACTTGTATCTGTAGAAAATGGACAGGCCTTCTCAACATTATCTAGAACTGACTGAGGTGATGTAGTTCTAGTTTCCAGATCCAACGGTTGTTTTTCAGCTTCCATTAAGCTTGAAAACCAGGGAGTACCACGCTTTACATAAAAGAGAATATATGCATTCTGGGATAAAACATATTCCTCTCGAACCCTGGTAACCTACATAACAATCAATTTTATTTCTCGGTGTTAATGATGGATTACAAGATTTTCCTTTTCAACAGAGAAGGGAATGAATAGATTATAAAGTAAGCAATTTTTATGCAAATATTACAGGTTATAGCCACATCCTAACTGAGGCACAGTAGGCAATGGCTAAGATACTATAAGTGCAACAACAAATTAAGAATTTCAACCGAGGAAATTAAGGAAAGACCGGTAGAATATCTAATGCCATTCAAATCAGTCGAGTGGAAAAGAATTTTACTACCTATCCTAAGTTAACTTTGATGCAAGAGAAGCTAGAATATGAAAGGGGTCCATCCTTAAAGATATTAGTGTGTGTGTGTGTGTGTGTGCAGAAAGCCAGGGGAACTATTAATGAATAAATAAACAAGCATATGAACTAGCACTCTATGTCATTTTAGGGAAATGATGTTTACAGTCAGTTAAGAAGCATCTGAGTTATGAGGTTCAGACAATGCATCCAAAAGAAATTCAAATAAAGTAAAGAAGACCAGTTTAAGTGCTTAGAGAAGTCCTATAGAGAATGATGCCTAGAAAATAGCTCCACACAAGCCAGATCCATTCCGTGAGACAGCAAATTATAATAAAAATATTACCCTCGAGTCATCCAACCTATACCATGTGTCTGGAGAAGAACGAATGAAGCTGAAGTAATGCCCAGAAGCAGATGAAAACCCAACATGGACGATAATTCCATAGAGATCATACATCAGCCCCGCCTATTTCAGAGAAGAAATGAAGTAAGTCTTTAAAACTGTCTCACTGTAATATCAAACTTTGATTAAAAAGAAGCTACGCGATCATGCCCAGCACATAATGTGACATTTTTCCCAGAACTTCAGATCATTGACTTTTGCTTGAAAATAATTCTATCATCCACCAAAATAGCCTTAACTCCACAGTACCAAATAATTATTTAATTGAAATCTATGTCCATACAGTCTAAATACTGCCTTCATGTGCCAATTATCTTGCTTTTAATACTTCTCATACTACTAGTAATACTATCATAAATGAACTAACAAAAAGCAGGTAATCAACTCACATTATCACCACTAGTACTAGTACTGTAGGACTGCAAGTCCAACTCCAATGAAAAGTCCACATGTTTATCAATCTTCTCGACAAAAGACCCATCAGCCTTAAACCTTTTCAAATGGAACACAGCAACAGATGGGGCCTGATCCACCATAAGTTGCTTTTCCACTGCCACCTCTTCCTTACAATTCTCACATGTAAACTTAATTTCTGAATCTTCGATCTTTTCCATCTTGGTAAAAGACCCCAGTGCACTTGGAACGCTGTCCACACTTTCAATCTCCAAACTCAGGTCAATCAGAGGTTCAAAAGTTGTTGGAACTTGACCACAGTTGCAACATTGGAGCTGAGAGTCAACCATGATGTTACAAGTCAGTAGGCAAAACTAGAAAATGAATTTTTGCTATTTAAAAAAAACAATTTCACATCATATTCTTAAACAAAACTGAAAGAAATCCACTTTTGATATCATACTTTACTTATAAGACGACCACCAAAAACCTGCTCCACAAGGTTTTCAGCTGGAGGAGTCGAACACTTTTCATTTGTCTTTGAATCCAAAAGGCAACTCTCAAGTCTATCTAAGAAGCATTGTAGGAATTCATGGGCATCTTCCTGCTCGTATCTAAGGAAAGAAGATGAGAAGTCTGGTTGATTCAAGGTCAAGGGCCACCAAGTGATGAACTATCTCAAAACTGTTGACTTTGTGCGTAATCTAACAAAACAAATATATGTTTCTCTCAAATTTCAAAGCAGAGCTGCTAATATTTTATGATTTCCCACTTTCTTTTTTAAGTTCAACACTCAGGAAAAACTATTATTGAAGGCTTCTTCAATGAAATCTCAATTCTTGTGAATATTTCATCGCAACATCTCAACAACAAGAACAATTATTCACATAAACTTTCATAGATGTTCAAAAGGATACAATTCAAATTGTTGACAAACTTCAATGGTGAAATAAGCCCTCCCGAAGATGATAAGGAGAGTTGAATGTGGTCATGGAGAGCACAGACAACACAGAATTCTTCAAAACCACCTGATAATTTCCAATATCAAACATTCTTTATCCAAAAAAAAAAAAAGAAACGAACAAAAAGATAAAGTAAATGAGAAGATTAACACCCTAGAATCGCAATCTTACGTTCACATGGCACGGAGTGATTGCAAGAACGAAGACCCTGCACGAGCGGCACTGTATGGGTAAAGCACTGAAGAACCGCATTCATAAAGCATGTGTTTCCCAGATTCATAAGCCCAGCACCCTGCAACAAACAAACAAACAAAAAATACATGAAAATAATTGAAAAACCCTAAATAAGAAAGAAAAAAAAATGCAAAATCGGAATGATCCAGAGGGAAAACCACATACCACCATGGAAGGTTGAGATTCTTGAATATTAAACAAATTATCCGAAAAGAACATCGAATCCTTGGAAGAAGACCAAAAGGATCTCCCAGAATCCGCGTCATAATCAGACGAACCACTGCGGACGGAACCAGAAAGGGAAGTCCGTGACTCTTCTTCGTCTTTTTGAGCTTTTTCGTACCCACCGGAGCATAACTTATCAACGAGGCTCGACAATTGAACAACGGAAGACTGATCCGCTAGGGCCTTCGAAGCGGCTTTCGAAGCTTGATCAGCAATGGCTTTCAAGTCCGAATCCAGCGAAGACCTAGCTTCACAATCCGGCGGAGAAACCGAATCGGGGACGGCTTCGGCTTCGGGTTGAGGAAAAGAACGCCATGGATCGAGCGATTCATCTGGAACGGGCGTTTCCGAGGGAGATTCCCCGAGGTTTGGCTGTAAAGGAACCGAATAGGAAGTCGTTTCTTGAGATTCTTTGGGATCGGACTCCATGGAAACGGTTGATCAGAGAAATGGCGGATTTCTGGTTTTGGGTTGTGAAAGTGAGAGGATTTTGGGAATTTGAAAGAGTCGGTGGTGGTGTGAAGAAGAAGAAGAAGAACAAGAAGAAGAAGAGGGAAGATGAAAAGGTTGGAATTTTGGAGGGTTTTGTGATGTTTTGAAAAGAGAGGGAAAACTCGCTCTTCTTTTTTTCCTTTTTCTTTTTTAATAATTCGTCTTTCCGCTCCAAACCGAATTTGGAATTTTTGAGGTTTTGGCGTGTTGTCTAGACGTTACCATCTAGTATGACTAGTAGGATATCTAATATAATTTTCTAGAGAATTGGAGATTGCGAAGGTACGATGCGGCAAAATTCGGATCTATATTAAAATCATCTTTTCTCCATATTTTTTTTATTATAATTTTAATTAAATTCAACAGCTAAAAATATACATCCTTTCTAAAATGTTATAACTTATAATAAAAAGATCTTAAAAATTGAAGGAAAAATGAGTACGGTAAGTAATATTAAAGTTGGAAGCACATCAAGAAAGCGAATAATTTAAAATTTAGATTTGTTATAATATTATATTCTTCATTTCAATTGAGTTAAATGGCTCAATTTAGAGTTTAGTTCTTTCCTCAAGTTTAATAGTTCAAATCATTTTTAAATAGTACAAAGTGCCCATTATATTTGCTTTTTACACCTACCAAACATAAATTTAAATTTTATTTTCTACTCAAATTAAAACTTTAACTACATATTTAAACGTCAATTTAAACCACATAGTTTGAATTTTTTAGTTTAAACCAACAAAATTCAAACCAACAAACTGTTTTGATTTGAACAGAAAAATTCGAACAACGTGGTTTAAACAGTAGTTTGAACTTGTGTTTGATTGTGCATTTAAAGTTTTAATTCAAACACAGAATATAATCCAAATTAGTGTTTGGATGAATCTTGCAAATTGTAAATTTAACTTATAATAAAAAGATCTTAAAAATTGAAGGAAAAATGAGTACGGTAAGTAATATTAAAGTTGGAGGCACATCAAGAAAGTGAATAATTTAAAATTTAAATTTGTTATAATATTATATTCTTCATTTCAATTGAGTTAAATGACTCAATTTAGAGTTTAATTCTTTCCTCAAATTTAATAGTTCAAATCATTTTTAAATAGTACAAAGTGCCCATTATATTTGCTTTTTACACCTACCAAACATAAATTTAAATTTTATTTTCTATTCAAATTAAAACTTTAACTACATATTTAAACGTCAATTTAAACCACATAGTTTGAATTTTTTAGTTTAAACCAACAAACTGTTTTGATTTGAACAGAAAAATTCGAACAACGTGGTTTAAACAGTAGTTTGAACTTGTGTTTGATTGTGCATTTAAAGTTTTAATTCAAACACAGAATATAATCCAAATTAGTGTTTGGATGAATCTTGCAAATTGTAAATTTGAACTGAATTGGCGTTTGGATTAAAAACAATTCTAACTATGAAATTGGTGGTAAGTGACAAATACCTCTTGAAAGTACATGAATCAGAATTTTTACTATTTATTCTTGATTCATAACTTTTTTAGTCAAATAATTACACTAATAAAATGGTATTTATCAAGAGTAGGGGGTAAATGTTCAGACTCATGCACTTTTAATGATAAATTTTCTATTTTTTTTCTAGAAAATTGGTTCAAATTGATGAATTGAAGGGAGGAGTTGAATCTAGAGTTGAGCCATTTCAGCTCAAATAAAATATTTTCTATTCAAATTAAAATTTTAACTACATATTTAAACGTCAATTTAAACCACATAGTTTGAATTTTTTAGTTTAAACCAACAAACTGTTTTGATTTGAACAGAAAAATTCGAACAACGTGGTTTAAACAGTAGTTTGAACTTGTGTTTGATTGTGCATTTAAAGTTTTAATTCAAACACAGAATATAATCCAAATTAGTGTTTGGATGAATCTTGCAAATTGTAAATTTGAACTGAATTGGCGTTTGGATTAAAAACAATTCTAACTATGAAATTGGTGGTAAGTGACAAATACCTCTTGAAAGTACATGAATCAGAATTTTTACTATTTATTCTTGATTCATAACTTTTTTAGTCAAATAATTACACTAATAAAATGGTATTTATCAAGAGTAGGGGGTAAATGTTCAGACTCATGCACTTTTAATGATAAATTTTCTATTTTTTTTCTAGAAAATTGGTTCAAATTGATGAATTGAAGGGAGGAGTTGAATCTAGAGTTGAGCCATTTCAGCTCAAATAAAATGGCTCATTCAGTTCAAATTAATGCCCTTAATAAACATGTATCCCAATTGTGGTTTGGACTGAATTAGGCTAATCTGAGCTGAGTTGCCCAACCAAACAGGGGCTAAATAACATATCTTATATGATTAGTTGGACTTAGATACCAAAATTAGACAAAAAATCTGGCTCTACAGTGCCCACTTTTTTGCCGTTCTGAAATCTTTTTAGAGCTTGTTCCGTGGCTGGAAAAAGTGGTCAATGAGATAAGTGACAAATACCTCTTGAAAGTACATGAATCAGAATTTTTACTATTTATTCTTGATTTATAACTTTTTTAGTCAAATAATTACACTAATAAAATGGTATTTATCAAGAGTAGGGGGTAAATGTTCAAACTCATGCACTTTTAATGATAAATTCTCTATTTTTTTTCTAGAAAATTGGTTCAAATTGATGAATTGAAGGGAGGAGTTGAATCTAGAGTTGAGCCATTTCAGCTCAAATAAAATGGCTCATTCAGTTCAAATTAATGCCCTTAATAAACATGTATCCCAATTGTGGTTTGGACTGAATTAG